TTCTTTATCACTTATAATAAATTTTGTTCTGTTGGATTATACTATAATTGCTCTCTCAGAGTCATCAATTAATTTAGTATTACCTACTATAGTATTGATGCTTCCATTCCTTATTGTTAAATAAGTAAAATATTGTTTTATCTTTCATTGTGATATGCATTGTAGCAGTATCCATAAGATATATATCTTCAATATTGTGTCCAATGAAAAAAAAGGAAAATATCCATATCCTTTAATAAAGAAAGAAAGTGTATTAAAATGAATACTTAATGAAATTTATTCCAAGCGATAATACTTTTATTATAAGAAAACAAGAAAGCTAAATGGAAACAAAAATGAAACATGATTCAAAAACATAATCCAAATTGTTTTAATTATTTTTCAATCAAACTTATCTAATCCTAATTGCCAAAGAAATCAGCCACCTCTAAATATGTCATAGCATTAAAGTCATTAATATTGTTCAACTCATTAATATCATCATTTTTGTATGCAAGATTTGTCTTGATATCAACGTTTTAAAAAGTGAAATTTTCTTCCACATTATTTGAATTTCTTTTGATGGAGGCTTGATAAAGCTTTGCAAAATGGTTGGGCGTACAATAGGTACATAACCAATACTCCTCCATATCACACAAATAGCATTAATTTTTAATAGTTTTTGAAGGACCACTCTTATCCCTTTTATGCCCTTCATTATTTTTCTTCTTTTGGTAGGTATTAGGATTGTAATTAGCACCACCATCGTCATGATAGTGGTAATTAGCATGTCCCCTGCCATGACCACACCTACAGTCGTGATTGCAATCATAATTGTGATCATAGTAATTATTGCATATAGTCACATTTGCTTTAAGGAATGAAGCTAATCCAATAAGATAGATTTCATGATTTTTCATCAGCAACTCTTTATTTTGTTCAGCCACAAGAAAACATGAAACTAATTCAAAATACTTTTTAAAACTTTTATCACAGTATTACTACTATAAGAGCACATTTAAAGCGTGAAAAGTTGAAAATCGCTTCTCTAATAAGTTCTTATTATTTATTTTCTCACCATATAATTTCAACTGATGATTTATTTTAAAAACTGTCGAATCATGTTCATTTACAATTTTAAATCTCACAAGCTCACGTGCATCCATTCATAAAGCTTTAGGTATAATTATCTTTTTTTAGTGGTCATACCTTTCTTTCAAATTGTTCCACAATTCTAATGAATCTTTTATTGTTAGGTACCTAGCTTTTAACCCTTCATGAAGATGATGATGAAGGAATATGATTACCTTGACTTTATCTTGGCTACTTGCTTCATTTCCAAGTAAATTGCTTGTCTTATACCTTTGGCGTCTAGGTAAATTTTAACATCTAGCACCCAAGACAAATAATTCTTTCTTGTATAATATGTGTATATATATATATATAGTATTAATTTAATGGAGGAATAAAAAAATAAAATAAAGATGACATCAAATATATAAACATAAAGAAGAAAAATAAGTATATTAATCTTTATAAAAATATATAATAACAAATAATAAAAATAAAGCAATGAATGATTAATGAGACTTCATTAAATTAAATCACTAATCACATTATTATTTTCAAATGAACAAATTGATAAATGTAAAATCACTTTTTAATTACAAAAATGAAAGGAAAATAAAATAAAACAATAAAATATAATGTAATAAATATATAAACAATATAACTATGAATGTTAACAGAACAATAATATAAAATATAATTATATATAATATAAGAATATATCAATCTAACTAGAAGCTCATATCTTATTTCCAAAGCCTATTTGTGTTGATAACATGTTATAAAGTCTAGCTAATATGAAAAGAAGAATAAGACAACACAAGAAATGTGAGAGAAAACAATAGAGGGAAATACTTATTCACTTAAGTGCATATGCTTTAGACATAACCTATATATATAAGCCTCCAACTATTCAATTCATATCTTAATATTACAAACATATAAAGAAGCATATAATGGTATGTTATATAGCTTTTGAAAGTTATAAACTATTAAAAAAAATCCTTTTATGCCATTCATTAAGACATTAAAGATAAAGGAATCCTAAAAATTATGAGTTACGGATATCCATAACATAATAATAATAATAATAATAATAATAATAATAATAATAATAATAATAATAATAAATTTTTCTTAATCATTTTAAATCCCAGTCATTCTTTTTGTTTGTTTTTAAATAAGAATTGTATAAACATGTAGAGATAGATGTGCACATAGGTAAGGATGGGTAAGGCTCAGCCTTACCTAATACCTAACTCGAAAGATTAACGGGTTGTAAAATGTAGCATGCTATCCAACCTTACTTGTAAAAAGCTTTAACATTTTAGGTTGAGCACCATCGAGTTGCCTTGCCTTATGATAACACCTTATTTATAAAGGACTCATAATAAATCCACAAATATCTAATTTTTTTTAAATTAGAAGAGAAGCAACGATTTGGTGAAAACTAAAACCATAAAACAAATTAACTACATGTCCTTAACAAGATATATCAGGCACATAATTGCCACACATTTAGTCTCTAGTCTTGTGAATCTTAGGACACCACAATATCTATAAATATTTAAAATCCATAAATCTAAAATATAACATGATTAGCATCCATGCTCATAAATCCATATTGAACATACATGTTAAGACAGCACAATATCCATAATCCATAATTCAACCCAAAACAACATTGAACATCTAGAATCTATTAAAAACATTAAAACAACATATTTCAAAAATAACTTCTAACTCTAACAAGGCAACATATAAGTTTATAAAAGGGTGGAGCATATATAGGGAAAAAACAAAAAACAAATAGAAATTAACAAATCACATAAACAAACTAAAAACAAGTAAATGCAGCAAGAAATCTATTTGTAAATAAAACCCTTCAATCAACACTAGTAGTTGCACTCTCCCTTCTAAGCGTTGTGTCTAAAAAACAGCAATTACATTAATATAGATAATAAAGTAAGATGTGTGTGAGTGAGAGAGAATGATTAAACTTTAGATAAAAATATTACTTACAAGCTAAATGATATGTTCTATGTCATTAAAGTTATCAAACTCACAAAGCTTGTCAACAACTCAAAGAGAGATTGGCCACTTTGCAACCAATGTTGCCCACAAATTAGTGCTTTTGTCATTTTAAGAGATATAAAGCTCTTATAATGATCAACTACACATCTACTAATACTAGATATAGACTTAAAAGCCATTATAGAAACTAACATAGCCAATATATCTCATGCCATATGGGAGATAAGTTTATATTTCTCAAATTTTCCTCTCTACCATGATAGTATGTCAAACCTATAATGAGATGATGGGATCTCATCTCTTGAATCATTTGCAAGATATCCATCTAACTTACTTTGTGGATCCATTGAAGTTCTTTGTTTTAAAGATTCTAACCACATTGCACCCAGATCATCAATATGATCACCGTCATCAAGAGCGGGCTAATGAACTTGTAAATTCATTACTTGAATAGGTAGACCCTAATTTAGTAGAAACCCCTGCAAAGTACTCTTCAAGCAATTGATACAAACAAGTTTTAATCTTATCCTTTATAACTGCACATTCTTTAAGGTCAATAAAAAGGAGTTCAAACATGTGATTTATAGAAACTAATTTATATTGAGGTCTAAGATTACAACCATAATCAATAATAGATTCATATTTTCTGCTTGACCCTAATACTTATCAAACTTCATTTGCATGCTAAAGCTCATCTCTCTTAAAAAATTATTAGTGAATGTACAAATACAATCAAGCAACATGCAAAGGTAGACTTGACATTATCAGCATTGTCTCTTATGAAAAGTGGAGACTAATGGTAAGGAGAATGACTGGGAGCAACATGCGAAAGTAAGAGGGGAGAGAGGAGAATGATGGCGATGGTGGATGTGTGTGAGAAGAATGACAACAATCATAGCAATGACGAGAACAAATGAGGCATCAAGATTGAGGGGGGAGAGTATGGAGACTAAAGAGTAATGACTAGGGTTAGGAGAGTGTGGACACAAAAAGTTAACCTAAAAATAAAAAGTATAATCCTACCTTACTTTTTAGTAAGATTCAAAACCTTAAAGAATTTAAAATATCTGTAAAACATATATCTTTGGTAAGGTAGCATATCTTGCCCATTGCCTGAACATACCCAAATCATGTCAGGCTGCTTTTTTAAGGGTTAGGTCGGGCAAAATTTCATCAAGTTCGGGTAAGAATCTTAGGCAACTGAGCTCCATGAACACCTCTATGTAGAAATTGCTAGAGTTATGAAGTAGAGATATTTGATAATTATTAGAGTGATTTTTTTTTATATTCCTAAGTATTTTAAACATAAGATTTTGAATTTAAATCCAAATCTAAAAAAGTCCATTCAAAATGCTACTTGTATGTTTGATCTCATTAAAAAAGCCATGAGTTTCAAAACTACAACTTTTTCTATACATTGAAATTTAATAATTTTTGTTAAAGACCCATAAACAATTTTATATTGTCAGTTTAACCATTTTTCATAACAAATGAGATAGGTTAAAATATATTTTGATCCTTTTATTTTATATAAGATTTCATTTTAGTTGTTTAATTTTATAAAATATTTGTTCAGTCTTTTAACTCTAACGCTATTAATTTTAAATGATTATTTTGTACTAATTATTATTATTTTTAAAAAATCAAACTTTTGTTAATATATAAAAGTTTAATGTAAAAATTTATGGTGCTAGAGTTAAAGGAACTGAAATTATATTTTACAAAATTAAATAATTAAAATAAAATTTTATATAAAATTAAAAGAATAAGATATATTTTAAAGATTAAGTTATCCTGCTTCAAATAATTAAACTAAAAAAAGATTAGGATAAAAAATTGTTTTGCTGCTTATTTATTTACGCAATTCATAAATTGAAGGCAGTTGTCGCTGCTTTACCGGGGAGAGCGCTGAGGTTTGGTGATTCAGACCTGACGCGAACTGAAAGTCCACATCTTTAGCCAGTTGCGTCCCCTCCTCAGTGCTCATGGACGCACCAAAACCCTCCCAAGTTCGAGTCCTCATACGCCCTCCTCCTTCTCCCAACCCTCCCACCACTTCTTCTCCTTCTCTACCTCCACCTCGCCCTCTCCCCAACCCCATTCCCTCCTCAGATCATTCTTCCTCCTCTTCTGCAACACCTTCCTCCTCCTCCGCTGCTTCCCCATCACTACCTCGCTCTTCCGATGGTGTGGTGGTTGTTGGCTTCATTTCCCGAAGACCCGATGATTCCACCCAGCTCATTAACCGAGTTATCGACTTCAATGTGTTCGGCTCGGGCAATCTTGATAAACGATTATTCGTTGACGAAGAGGAAGCCAGAGACTGGTTTAAGTGGAGGAGAATTAGTTATTACCATGATGACGAAAAGGGGATATTATATTTGCAATTTTGTTCCACTAGGTGCCCGGCCATTGACGGCTTTTCTGAGCCGTCTTCGGGATTTGATTCCGTGGTGGAAGAGCACGAGTTCGGAGACCTCCAGGGAATGCTTTTTATGTTCTCTGTAAGTCAATCTTACATGGCATGTTCTTGGCTTTATAAGTCTGATTTTATCTAGGTATCATATGGATCTATTAAGATATCAGGAGCTCAGTCTTCGACTTTTGATTGGCGTTACTTAAGAGTATGATAACTAAAGTTCTGGAGTGTTGATTAAAGTTGTCACCTCAAGGAACTGACATGGATAACATATCAAACAACTTTTGAGGTTGGTGTTGATCTAAAATGTGATTAGGTGAAGAAGTTCATATGCATAGAAATTACGAGTCAAGAGGGTCTTACCCTAAATTTGATCTAGCAAGATCTGCGGAGTCAATCTCTTTTATGTAAAAAGGGATAAGCTGAGTCCAGTAAGATCGAATTTCAAAACATATCATTGCTCATCCACATAGATGCTATGTGGATGAGCAATTATATGTTTTTATATTAATCTAAATTTAAAATTACGGTTTGAAGCAAAAAAATCAAATTTTTGTGTCTGTCATATCTCACAATGCTTATTATAAAGAGGGGTGAACTCTAGAGTTGAATATACTGTATCACCAGAAAATACTTGATAAAAATAAAGTTGACGTAGGGTGGTTTCAGTCTCTCAGTTATTCTAACTATATGCAATTTGAAGATGCGAAAATGCTGCTGTGCAAAGAGTAAGAAGTCTCAAGTAGCAAAATCATGGAGGAATTAAGACCAGAAATAAATTGGGGATAAGCAAAGTAAATGCTTATGCTTATACTGAATCATCTCAACAGAATCAGGCTTAAGAATTATTTGATTTGACTGCAATAAGATGGTGATAACTCACTTGATTTATTTAGTTTCAAAGCTTACTGTACGAATAAATCTTGCTTATTCCTTATGTTGCCTGTCAACTTGTTTGTTATGAGGAAGTATTACAGAAGATCAGTTACAGAAAGAAGACACGATTGTCCTATTGGGTGTGATGGATTAGAAACTCTTTTCTTAGTATTTTAGGGTCTTAATATATAGCTCAGTGCATGTTAAGTGCTCTTTCAACAAGAAATTTGTATATACTAGGTGTAATTGACAACCTAGAAATGCAGGTTTGCCATGTTTTAATATATATTCAGGAGGGATCACACTTTGGTGCTAAGATTTTGAGTAACTTTCGTGTGCTACAAGCAGCCAAGCATGCTATGTTTCCAATTGTAAGATCCCAGACTACAACGAACATGTCCTCTAGGCCATATTCCTCATCATTTTCGCGACCCACCACTTCAGCAAACAATTCTTCTCCAGGTAGAGGTGGTGTTATTTCAAGCCGCAATGCCTCAACCATTTCTCTTATGTCTGGTCTAGGTTCTTATACTTCTTTGTTTCCAGGACAATGCATACCTGTTACATTGTTTGTTTTCATTGATGAATTCTCCAATTTACCAAATCCTAACAGTAATGGGGAGGACTCTTCAGATTCCTTCTCACTTAATCAGTCTTCTAATTTGAGTGGCGTAGCCAAGACAAACTTGCCTGCTAAAGGTTCTGGTTCAGTAGTTGTGCTGGCACGCCCTGCAAGTCGATCTGAAGGTGGATTCAGGAGAAAACTACAGTCTTCCCTTGAAGCTCAAATTCGATTTCTGATTAAGAAATGCCGTATACTATCAGGTTCTGAATCAAGTTATTCTAGCATGAGAACTGGAGGTAGTTCAACGTCTGCTCCTTTATTTTCACTTGATGCATCAAAGGCAGTTGTTTTGCTAGATCAATTTTCAAATCAAAGAGGTGAATCTCTTGAGTTTGCCACTGGGCTTGTTGAAGATTTCCTGAATGGGAAAACAAACTCTGATTCCCTGCTGCTGGAAAGCCATAGTCAAAGTGCTAGCAAAGAGGATATTATATCTGTGAAAGAGTTCATCTACAGGCAGTCTGATATTTTAAGAGGGAGAGGAGGGCTGGTTAATACCAATAGTGGCTCAGCTGCTGGTGTTGGTATGGTTGCTGTTGCAGCGGCTGCAGCGGCTGCCTCTGCTGCATCAGGGAAAACATTTACCACTCCTGATCTTCCAAATTTTGAAGTCTGGTTATCTTCCAGTCATCATATTTTGAGTAAAATTCTCTGTACAAAAGGCTGTTGCTTGGATGAATGTGAAACTATCAAAAGAAGAGCCCGTCCAAGGAACACGGTTTTACCCACAGCTGATGGATCTTCAAAGGTTACAGATCCTCTAGATGTCACATTATCTCGGTTGCATAGCGGTGAAGGGCTCATTACAAAGTTTTCAACTTCATGGTGCCAAAGTGCCATTCCAGCTGCAAAGGAGATTTATTTGAAAGATTTGCCTGATTGTTATCCTACTTCAAAACATGAAACCCATTTGCATAATGCTTTGACTGCATTTTACTCAATGGTCAAAGGACCTGCTGTGCAACATTTTGCAAAAACGTTAGAACAGGAATGCACTTTAATTTGGGAAAATGGGAGGCAATTATGTGATGCTGTTAGCTTAACAGGCAAGCCGTGCATGCACCAACGACATGGTGTTGAGACTGGTAATTCAGATTTATGTGATTCATTAAAGGCACATTCCAGTGGGTACTTTTTCCTTCGTGCCTGTGCTTGTGGCCGATCACGACAATTATGTCCTGATCCGTTTGACTTTGAATCGGCTGATGCTAGTTGCTTCTCTGACTGTGATAAGCTACTTCCTGCACTCAAACTTCCAGAAATCAGGGTCACACAGCCTATTCAGTCATCCTCTTGGAGTTTGCTTCGGATTGGGGATGCAAGATACTATGAACCTTCTAAAGGCTTATTTCAAAGTGGATTCTGTGCCACTCAAAAATTTCTTCTCAAATGGACTATATATCCAGAGAAACAGAAAGTGCCAAATGGTTCAACAGAGAGCATAGTTAAGCAAGGTTCTATGACGAGGCCGCCAATGGTTGAATTTATTCCAGATTCCAAGACAACTGGCATTGTACAGTCCTACCCCGCTATACAGAATGAAGTGGATGACCGAAAAACATCTTTGGATAATATCAAATCTGATGATAAAAAAATAAGTTTTGGTAGAGGTCTTCCCAATTTCAAAATGAGAAAACCTTTTTCTGAGGTCGTTGCTGGATCAGCTGCTGGTGATTCAGGATTTCCCCCTCTTCAGCAGAGGAAATTGCCAACATCAGGTTCTGATAAGGGTATGAATCAAAGTAGGACAAGTAGTCAGAGTATGGAACGTGTCAATGCAGCTGTTGATCATGAGGTGTCTCAGAAATCTTTAGATATGTCCCTTGTTCAGGGACCACTTGATAGCAATAATGCTAATAACTGCAGGGAAGGTGACCCCTTTTTGCAGATAGGTAGCAATGGAGTGCCTGTATATGTGAATGATAGTGAAAGAATAAAGTTTCATTCTTTTTTGAAGCATGTAATAATATATGTTGGATTTGAGCATGAATGCCCCCATGGGCATCGTTTCCTGTTAAATACAGAACATCTTGCTGAACTTGGATCTTCATACTCATTGTCTGAAGAATCTCATATAACTTCTGCTGAACCTGGACACAGCAGTCTGACAGATCATAGTAAAGTAAACAAGAATACTCGCTGGGGTAAAGCTCGTCAAAGCTTTGTGTCAGCAAATAAGGAAAGGGAGGTGGACAAATCATGTGAAATTATTTCTATTGGTGATTCAAGTTCAGATGGAGTAATGTATGCTTCCCATCCACAGAAGGAACAAAATATGACATCTGTTAGAGTGTTGGCTAAACCTTCTGATCTTCCAAAAGATCTTGGCGAGGATCTTGAAGCTATTAGCATGACTGATGGTGATCTTGCATTCTCCATGTTGAGTCGAAATTTGCCTGTCTACATGTTCTGTCCTCATTGCAGGCTTTCAAGGAACAAGAAGGTTCCACCAAAAGTTAAGTTCGCCAGCACTATCTCACAGCTTAAAAGGATTTTTCTGGTATGAGCTGCTGGTCTTATAAAAATGTTCTTTAAGTTTCAATTTACATTATTGAGTACTATAAATTAAGTTTTGCTGGAAAATGTACTAATTTCTGAGTTTGTGTTTGACTCATTCAGTTGGCTAGTGTTTATAAATCTACAGAACATGCAAATTTACTTATGCTGATAACATATTACATTTTTAGTTTGACATTTGAACTCTACTTTTTCACTCATATTGTTATGAAAATGACAATCAGATATTGCATTAGGTGTTCATTCATTGTTGTTTACATGTTATGGTTCATCAGTACTTTTAGTTATTATCAGATCAGTTACCTGATCTATTGATATTGCTGTAGGTGACAGCTGCATTTCCTGTGACATTAGTAACATGTCCCATTGTACAATTTGAGGCAAGTCCTTCTATTTTAATGTACATTTTCTTGAAGTTTGTATTATTACATGAAATTTCCCATTGTGGGGCTGCCGGCTATGAGGTTGGGCTATGAAACCCCTCTTGTATTGACCTTTCCATATAAACCTTGTGCAGCGTCTTCAGTTTTACAATGTGCACCACAAGTCTAACATGTGCAATATCAAAAACAGCTGAGCACCTAAAAACCATAAGTGTTTTGGGCAAATTGGGCCTCATTTGTGACTTAAGATAAACCATTTGGCAGGCTCTGAGAAGAGTGGACACTTCTGGTTGCCTTTGTCCTTCTTTCTTTTTCCTTCTTTCTCACCCTCAAGAGTGTGTTTTCTCTGTTTTGCACTGATAATTCCTGGATTTCTTTGTCTTTTTTTTTTAATCAAACAGAAACCCTAAATATTTGAATACTCCCTGGCTTCCTGCTCATTTAGATACCATATCTCGTGTCTTGACTCTTGAGTAACATATATTTTAAGATTTTCCTCATTTTCCCTTTCAATGTTTATGTCCTATCATGTTTCAGGCTCTAGTTAACAAGGAATTTAATTATTGGTTATTGACACCTAAGCTATTGGCATATCCACTTACTCTGTGATGGCAATATTCCTCTGCAAAATGCACAATGGCACCATGAGCCCGTGGTGCAAGGGCGCACTATACTATAGTCGACAATAATATACATTGCTTCTACCAATTTTAAGGAGTTTAGGTAGGTTATTCAGTTGTTCTTGTTTTAACTCGTGAAAGAATAAGTAACCAAGAATTCTTGCTTTTCTTGCTTTACCAGTGTGCACTGGTCCTTCATGAGAAATGGGTTCTTAAATTAGGAAGGGATATTTAGTTCTGGAACATTTAATAATGGATCTGGTTTTTACATGCTTACTTCTTCCAGCATTACTGTTAGAACTTTGCAATTATTTTAAAGTGGTTGTATTTTTTGTAATTCCGTCCACTATATGTATTTTCTCATTGTAGACATCATGCCTGCCTCCATCAGTCCCAGATCGTGAACAAAAATTGCAGTTTGGCCTTGGATGCCAAGTGGTTTTGCCACCACAGAGTTTCCTCACTCTTAAACTACCATTTGTATATGGTGTGCAACTGGAGGATGGAAGAAAGCATCCTCTTAAACCCTTTGAACAACAGCCAGAAATGACTGCGTGGATTACCAAGGGTTCAATACTGAAGATCTTGTCCAAGGGGACCAATGATGAGGGGTATCAAAAACACTAGAAGATTATTATCCTATTTTTGGTTAAACACCAGAAGATTATTTAATTTTAGAGTGGCTTTGCAAGAGTGAATTGGGCAAGGTTGTCAACAGCTTCTCCAAAACTCAGGTGAGCTTCGGTTACTTGTTATATGCTGAGAGTACTATCTCATCTTCTCGGTCAAAATATTGTTCGGTCTTTTAAATGCAAGAGCATGTAGTTCACATATAAATTTTTGGTAACTTGTCAGAAAATTGTTTGGTCTTCTGTAAAAGAATGATGAGAAATCCTTTATGCTTACATATTGTTTTGCCACAGACAGGGGCAAAGGGATGGATCTTGCTATTTTAGCTTTGTTAGAAATTGACCTGTTAAGATAAACTAGATTCTGTATCAGGCTGCTTTTATCTCTGAAGAATACAAAATGTCTGCTAATAGTAAAAAGTTATGTGCAGAATGATTTGATTTTTCTTTCCTCTTGAGATGATCAGTCATGATACTTGAAATCTTCCTTGTTTTTATTTCAATGCTGTCAGATTTTTGTTTTTTTTTTTGGGTGACTACGCATTTTTCTTCCTGCCAATCTTATTCCAATTCTTTTTAGTTTCATCTAGAAGAGGCTAGAGAGAAAGCAAGGAAGCACTGCATGGAAAAACTGTGACTTAAGCATTGCATTCATTCATTGGTTAAGTTGTAGCAGGCTTTGACAGCGTTTCTACAAGGTATTTGAATTCTTTATGCCTACTAATTCGCCTCTTAGTCTGATGCTGTTTTGGACGTTGTGGCTTCTCATAGCCTTGTGGGTGGTTTTCTAGCATGTTCCTCTGCCCTTTTATATATTGACTCATGGATATATGCATATGTCCAAGTATTGCTGTCTCGATTGATTTGGAAGATAATGTATTATCTTTAATGACCATCAATGTTGCAAAAGGAAATGACCATTTTTCTTGACTTAGTGGCGTAGTTCCAAAATAGGATGACTACGAAACAACGACATTGACATGATTCAGCACGTACCTTGGACTTAATGAAGAGTTGTCATCTCCATGATGATTTGCTTGATTCGTACTTTAAAGAAAGGCCATTTTAGTTATCTCATAATGATGCCTGCTATGCAGGAGAAAGGCCATTTTAGTTACCATAAATGTTCCCGTCTTCGCCATTAAATTTGTGCGCGCGTTTTTTTTTTTTTTTTTATTTAACTGCCATAGACTTGCTATGAAGGGGCAGTTTTCTTGCAGGAGAAAGGCCCTTCGTGATGACTGATGAGTGGATAGACGGCTTTGTCTAGTTTGAGGATGTCAGGAGCCAAGACCATGACTGGTGTGTTTAACATATGCAAGAAACTTGAGAAAAATAGACCGCATGAGAAACAGGGATCAGTGTCTTGCTGGGTCTGTATTCCTTGGTCAGTACGGCTGGATTGTTATGACCTTGAGTGGCGGTGATTTAAAGCAAAACGGACTCAGAATGGACTTTTTATGCAGAGCAACATGCCTCATGCTTTGGGCGACATCCTGTGATTAACAAGCATATTTCTGACATCTGAAACTAAATCCCAAACGGGTGGCCTGCTGCATTACCTCTTGGGTCGTCACAAGATTTAACGCTTCAACAAAAACGCAGTTAGAAACCTACCTATGTTACAGTTGGAGCCAGTGATCCCCTGTCCTCTCTGCTGACGCCGAGAAGCTCCATCATTCTCTCTGGTGTTTTCCACTGGCCAACTATCTACTGGTCGCCAACACTGTCCTATAGTTTATGGCCTACAGCATAAGTAACACAATGGAAAATAAGGAGTGAGAGGATATAAGGTGTATCATTTTGGCTAATTCCTGCGTGGAAGCTTCGATATAGTTTCCATAAAGATAGGTAAAGCATGATGTCTGAATCGTTACCCAAAAAAAAAAAAAAGTATGATGTCCGAATCCAATCTGGACGCAGAAAACCACAATTTCGAAACTTAAGAAAGCTAACAAATGCTTGTTGAAGTTTTGCTAAAGAAATATTCCTCATAACTACTGTCAATTTCTTCTAGGTTATTGCTTGGTAATGTTGCATGCTATGTTTATTGCTAGTCGGACTAAGCAGATCATCATGTCTGTCCATTCTACATGTATAGATCCTAACCTGATCAGTTAGCAAAGTAATTTGTATATTTTTTCTTCTGGGTACGAAAGGAATTTGCTTGATTTGTATCCAGGGAAAAATGCACCAAGTCAATGATACCATGAATGGACAATACTGGAATAATTGATCAAGAATTCACTTGTGAACAAATAGGATAATGAGAACACAGAGGTCACTTTCCTTTCTCACTTTCAGTCATCATCTAATTAAGAAAATATTCCAAACCTCATCAAACCATGCAAATAGATCTAATACGCAATAATGAAAACGATATATGACGGAGAATGTGTTGGCTATCATAAAGCTTCACCTTGCAGCCATACGAAGTTGTGTGGCGTAAAGACTCCTAAATTGAATAGAGAATTCAGACTTTTTTATAATTGAAAATGATTATATGGGTCAACTCACAATAGGTTTGCTGGGTTAGGTTAGCATAGCCTGCATTTTGAGTGGGTTAAATTATGTCAACTCGCAAATAAAAAAATATTTTTAATAAATTTTTAAAATTTTAAAAATTATAAATTTATCTCTTTTTTATTATTTTTTCACAGTAAAAAATCATATTTTTTTAAAAAATTAATTATCCAAATAACAATAAAAAAATTTCTAATTAAGATATGTGTGACAACCATAAAATTTTAAGTTAAAATAATAATAAATGAGTAAATGAAATAATAATGATAAATTATATATATATTAATTGTTTTGAGTGTATTTTATTAATGTTTGGAATAACTATAATAAGGAGGAGTGTTGGTGTGGTGAAAGTGGACAAATAATGTAATAGCTAAAGAGTTTAAATTAAGATTAAAATTTATGATTGAGTACTTGATTATATTTAATAATTCTTGAAACAACTATATCAAAAGGAATGTTGATCTTGTAAAAATTGTGGTAAAAAAAATAAAAAAAATAAAAATGATTCATTAGCACCTTGATTTTTTTTTTAAATGTATACACATGAGAAGAGTTTTGTCTTGCATTAGTTTTAGGAAATTGCCATTTTTGCTAAAAAAAATTAAAATTAAAATAAAATTAAAACAAGTTATATATGTATATATGAACATACACGTGGAGAGGGGAGATCAGATTTTCTTTCCTTCCTATATGAACATACACGTGGAGAGGAGAGATCAGATTTTTTCCTTCCTCTCTTCTCATACTGAGACACGGGAGATTCGAGAGAGCTCATCCACCGCCTTTCTTCTTCCTCATTTCTGATCACCTGTCATCGGCCACCGGGAGAGTCACCGTCCGTTCACTGTTGTAGCTGTTCAGGGAGCTTGCGATCTTCCTTTTTCATTTTCATGGCCGTCGACTTCCTCCCCTGTGCAGCTCGTCCAATAACTACTCTTTCTTCCATCCGGTGTCGGCATCTGTAGGTGTGTGCTGGAGGCTTCATCTTCCTTCTCCATGCAAGCAGCTGCGAGTGTGAGCTGTGGTATCTTTCCCCTGCGTTGTGTTGCTGTGATTCACTGCTGTAGGAGCTTCGTCGGACACCAGCTCCTTCCTCCCCTGTTCACGCATCGATTTCCCATTTCTCTGCGTCTCTCGCCTCTTTTCTTCTCAGTGTTCGCTGTCACCTCTGTGACTCATCTAATCGCCGGCCACCATGGAGTGTTCGTTGTAGAGGCATGCGTGTCGTCCCTTTGTTCGCTTTTATCTCTCTGTTCACTGAACCATTTTTTCTTCGCCTTTGTCTGTGCTGATGGTGGCTGCGGGAAGCTACGCTGCTGGGGAGGTAGAGCATGAAGGAGTTTTGAGTTGCTGCTGTTGGAGGTTTTTATCAGCCTTTTCTCTTTCTTTCTTCATTGCGGCAATAACCAGAATTCTTCCCTCATCTGTTGAGCGTAAGTTTGGATTCTCCTTCCTTTTTCTGTCTTTACTTGGCATTATGAGGTATAGAAGCTTCAAATCATTTTCTTTCTTCTTTTCCGTGTATGTGTGTGTATGTGTTATGATTGAGATGGTGATTCTTATTCTTGTCTGCTGCTGTAAATGTGGAGTAGGGGTGATAATTTAAGTTGAAATTCTTAGTGTTAAGAGATGATAATAATTGATAGGTATGAGTTTATGGGAAGATTTGTTGGGTTCTATATGTGGCTTGTGGCTTGTGGTTTGGAATGAGAACTAAGGAAAGCATTATATTAATTTTTCTCTCTTGCATATAAAATGTTTGATAAAGTGTTTGAGTGAATTTTTTTTTTTTAAATGAGTGTTTAAACTTGACTAAGTTAATTTTGATTAAATTTTAATGTTTAGATTACTTGATTTTTCGTTAATATATAAACTTGTTAATATGTTTTTTTTTTGTGAGGATATTTATGTGGTTGGGATTGTAAATTTTCTTTGTTATTTATTTTGATCTTGCGTATGCTTGACTTACAAGAGGATTTGAATATAATGAAGGTGGTTTGGCTTGAGTTTTTCTCTCTTAAAATTAAGTTGATTCTTATTGCAGAATTTAATTGACAAATAAAGTTAATTATTTTTATAAAGCTTGGGAAAAATAAGAAGTTGGCTTAATGGTGTATAGGTTAGAATTTGAACATGTTAGGTGAAATTTTGAAATTTTTAAATTAGTTTGGTCTTGAGACACAAGGGAACCTGGAAAAACTTTGTTATACTTGATGACATATATGATATTGAATTAAAGGGGCCATAAGATTAGTTGTGGTTGTGTAAGGTAAGAAATTGTACTGTTTTGAATAAAGCATATTTTGTGAAGTTATTGAAGAGCCTTAAGGATAAATCATTTATTGGTTATTAAGGAAGGAGGCATGGTAAAGATAAATATATTATTATAGGTAGGAGAAATGAACAAAAAGAATATAAATTTTAAATACAGATGGTGGGTTAAAGACAAATAAGATTGAGGACTTTAAAAATGTTCTAGATTACATATTGGGTTCACAAATGTCTGTTAGAAATATATGAATTGAATTTTTATTAAAGAAAGATGTTTATTCATTTGGTCTAGGTGATAGCATAACTAAAGGGAAATGCAGAAGTATTTAAAAAGCACATATTATTAATTTGAGAGTTATCAGGTAAGTGGATAGCATCCTAACTAATTTTTTTCAATCAGAATTTTCTTTACTAAAATAGTATGTTTTTTTGAAAATCATTTTAATAGCATTAATGTGATTATTGGATATTTGTTGATTAACTTTACTTTATTTTGAAAAATTAGTTTTATCAAATTTGAAATGTTATTTGATTAATTAAATTAAGTTTGGACTTTGATTATGAGATGTTTATTTTATCAAATGTTGGATTGATACAGAGAATGATTCATGCGACTTCGATTTTAAAATTTTTGATTATTCAATAAATACAAGCATAAGTATTGGATATAAAATTTTATTCTAGCGAGTTTTTAATACTTAAAAGTATTCATGTTAGTTTGATTTTGAGAATGAGAACTGTATCTTGAAAGTGAGGATTTTCTCGCATGTTTGAAAATGGTTTTAAAAAGGACTTTATACAGAACACTGATTGTTAACGGCAATTCCGTTAGCCCTTGACGCGCCATGGACGATGGTACACCTAGTTAGCAAGGTGTTTGTAGGAGGTGCTAGCCCCGTGCGATGGCCAACGCATGTGGAACGGAGGGGTGATTATTCGTGAGCATTGTACTCACGTTTGTTTTGTGGGCTTTATGCCTGCGTTTGATTTCGTGGCCTGAGCCGCGTTTAGTTAGTATTATCCTTGTAGATTGTGTATCCACATTTGTTTCGTGGCTTCGGCTGCGTTTGGTTATTTACCCTCATGGATTGTGTGTTCACGTTTGTCTTCGTGGCAAGGGCCGCATTTGATTATTTACCTTCGTGGACTTTGTGTCCACGTTTGTTAATTGTTCTGATAAGTCTCTATAATATGAATTTGATTATTTGATGATTTTACATTCCATTGATTTTTAATTAATGAATTATTCATAATTATTTATTTTATTTATTTATTTTCTTGCAATCAAGTGATAATAATATTTGATATGATATTTTAATAGTTTAAGATTTTATTTAAACTTCATAAAATTTTTTTATTTTCAAAGTCTATTAAATTTTTATGAGAATCGTTGCCTTAGAATTGTGTAATTATTTCAAGCTTTTCTTTTATTCATGTTCAATTATTTATTGTTGGGACGTTATTCACTGAAAAAAATATTTTAGTCTCAGATAGTATAGTTGAACTCGTGATTCGAGATATCTACTGAGGAGTTTTATTGCTGAAATTGAAGTAGAAGAATTATTTTAGTTAAATTCTAATTTGATGAAAAATTTAAACTTTATACCTACGTTGGTGTCTGGCCTTAGGTGTTTCACATAAATTACAGATAGAATTCTCACATTTCTTTTAAAATTGAATATCTAATTTAATATTATAACAATTTTTAATTACTCTATTAATATGTTTAATGTATTAATTTCAGAGTTTCTTCAATCACGGCTTAAGGAATATGAGTTTTGTGCTCATATCCCCTACCGGTCACACCTAATTTTTGGGGTGTGACAATATGTTTATATCATTACTTAAATATAAACTAATTTAATTTGTAATCCTTTCATTCTCTAGTCTTTTACATAATTGATTGGTATTATACATGTATAAATTAATAAAAATGCTCTATCTATCTCCTTTTTTCTTCATCTTGTTTTGGAATTTTTTGCTATAAAATTGATGCCCCAATTTAAAATACCAATTCTTTTTTTAGAAAAAAAATAATGATAATTTAAATTCTGACTATTAGATTACTATTCACAATACATTCAGTTCATACCACCTAACTGTTCTAATATTTTTGTATCTATTTTTTTTTCCTTCTATGTTCAAATCAAGATGATAATATAATATATGGTTAGCACTTCATAAATATGTTTAATTTTTTAAATAAAAGGGGCAACTAAACTTTTTTTTATTTTCTAGATTGGGTAGCACTATTTTGCAAACAAGATAATTTAAATAAGCTATTATTTGGATAAAGTAGAGGATAATAAAATATTTTATTTAATCTTGTTTTGATCACATTTAAATTATATTATATTACTATTTAAATATATGAGCAGTGTGTTTTTATTATTTTCTATCATAGTTTAAACTTGAATTAAATAAATATAAAAGTATTAAGTACTTAAATTGCAACTCCATGTATGCTTGCTTTGAATGCTTTATTTTAAACTCAATTTTATTTATTTATTATTTATTTATTTTTTTAAAATATAATCGAGCTAACCCACCAACCTGCGAGTTAGCCCGTTACAAGTTCAAGTTATGCAAAATGTGCCAAAACCACTCTACATACAATCAAACACATTTTCTTTAACTCAACCCACAATTTTTTGTGAATTAGTGGGTTGAGTTCGCAAGCTTAACTTATATTATTGGCTTTATCTATAATGTAAATGTAAGAATATATTCTTGAGTACTTAATGTGGAGTGATAGCATGAGTCTTTACATGCCTTGTCTCTAGTAATCTTTTCTGTGAATTATTATTAAGATTTTTACCTTCATACCTTCCATGATATGAATAAGTCTTACTCCACATCCTTTATATGCATTATTATTAATTATTGAAATGCTAAGAGCACAATATATGTAATTTGTACATTTTTTGGGCCACATGTACTTGAAGATTGAATAACATAAAATCTTCACATTCCAAACATTACCTTGATCTGAGCCTCAACTCATCATTTTATGTAGGTGTGTAATACATGTTTTTGCTTTAATGGATACAAGCTTCACATCCAAGTAACAGTAGATATTAGGAGTGTGCTCATGTTTGGAATATAAGCCACATGAGAAAATGGTGTAAAAATAATCAGAATACATCAATTTACTTATAGCTTCAATGTAGGGTATACATAATAGAAGTATAAAACCTTAGAGGAGGAGATTGGCAAACAGCGTTGCATGGTTCATGATCTAAGACACAACTCACAGATTTAAAACTAAATGAAATTTTAAGGTTTTGTAACAACTAATGGTACAAAAACTAAATGAAAAGAGATATTTTAATCTTTATTCAAAATTGAGCGATGCTATAGCAAAAGTTAGTAGTCCTATTAATAATGTTAGAACTCTGAACGAAACAAATAAGTAAAAGAAACAAATAAGTAAAAGGAAGTTACAAATGTTACATTAGCTTTTATTGATTACAATTATCTTTGGGATGTTTTCGGTTTAATGGACATGACGTGAACGGAAGTGCGACAGCTCATGTTTTCATTTCATTTTGCAGTAATTCATGGGGAGAGGGGTCTCTCCATTTCTTTTCTCTTCATTTCTCTTCACTTCTCCCATCCCTACCATTTATTAATTTTGTCATTTAAAAAAATTATTTAATAAAATAATTTGAATGACGGGGATGGGGGAAGTGGAGGGAAATGGAAGGGAAAAAATGGAGAGACCCCTCTCCCGTAACTCATGCTTCCATTTCATCTAGCCTTCTTTATCACAATAAATCTTGAAGTCCAAGAGGAAAAATCAGTGAGATCACGTTGGGACATCAAATCTTTCTCTCAATAAGTGGATGAAAGCCGCTTCGATAAAATAATAATAATAATAATAATAATAATAATAAATGGCGGAAGTCCAAAACTTCTTTCAACATCTAATAATGGAGTTCACTGACAACAAAAACGAAAGCACATCAACAAAGGATGCAATTACTTCAATATCAGCAGCGTCCTCATGTATTATCAATAAAGCAGGTCAAATTGGAAGCTGAACGAGTCCGATTCATGAAACAAAGTACTTTGCGAAACTGCTCATGGAGGTTAGTACTCATCATGACAAATAGAAACACATGATTGAGAAAAACATGCAACGAAAACATATTGCAATTACATCAATATCAACAGTGGTTCATTAGACTTTTGCTCTTCCCTTTTCACCATTCAGTCTTGCATAGAGCACGTATTATAATACTTAAGGAGAGAAAATACATAATTAATTAATGTGCGTTTGATTCAAAATAATGCATATAGACTAAATCATTGAATATGAATGTTATTCATTACAAAATTTACAATTTGCCAAAAGGGAGAAGAAAAGGTCTAGAATATCAGCATTTGAATTGCCACATTGGTAAAAAAAGGAATCCTTCCTAACAACCTTGATTAAAAAAACATGATGGTTTGGATGAATGATCACGATCTTCACGGTCCTCCTCTCAATATTTATTATTTAATTTAAGGTCAGGAGCTCTCGGTCTACAAAACTCACATTAATTAATTGACCATTTCGGGTTCAGGAAAGTAGCTACTTTTTTCTTTAAAAAATAATAATAAGGGAGCTCCTATGACACCATGGGACTATTTCAACTCAATATGTCTTCAAAGAAGCCAATGCCTGTAGAGCGGCAAACTCATCACATTTATGATAATGATGTTGAATTCGAGATAATTGATTTATTTTTTCTTGGTTAATTAGAAATCTGTTGTGATTGATCTTATGTTAATCATGACCAAGTCTCTTAACCTCTTCCCTTAACATCTTGACCTTGTATTAGAAAGAAGGAAAGAAAGAGCTGTATTTTCTCTTGATCTTCATCTCATGCCCATGAATTGGAAAAGGATAGGAAATGTTTTGATACTGAATTATAAAATCAAGAAAAATGGTACAGATCTTACCAAATTTATTACATAACGAAAGTAATAATAACGACATATTAGACTCGTTTGGCACAAAATGAAGATAGGAAAATCAATGGGCATGGAAAGCTCTCCTTGCAAAAGTGAGGAGCTTTTTTTTTAGTATAACAAAATTACTATGTTATCCACCAAGTATAGTCCCCACATTTTTCCTTTCTTTAAAGATAGATTCTTAGGACCACACACGGAAAATGCCTTCTAGACATCTGCTACTCTGTGAGATAAAGAGATAACAAACAATGTTTCTTCACCTGGTCATCAACTCCAAATCGTTCTTTTTAAGGACAGCACGGTTAAATTATTAAGGTGTTCATGTTTTTTTTTTTTTTAAATAAGCTGAGGACATCACACATAGAAAATATTATTTTGAATGTTATGCGATGCTGCGTAATGAATATTGTTCACTTGTCATGATTTGAAGAGAGAAGCCCATGAAAGAGTCAGATGTAACTGGAGGGAGAACAGAATCAAGCGTGGAAAGTTGTAATAAATTCGAAGCCTTGGTTCAGAAGAGCGCTTGCTACCCACAGCTTCAGATTTTGCTGGTTAATTTCTGGCTCGCAACCTTTCACCTGTTTTTAACATATCAATCACTATATCCGTACACAAAAGTAAGATTCAGAACGCTGAAGATATCATTAAATAACAACGAAAGAAAAGCTTACATCTAATGTAAATGTTAGTAGAAATCTCTCAGAAACTGTGGCCAAGTTTGAATTCTGAACATTGAAGCCTGCTAGGGACTCGAGAGCCCTGTACAGGGAGGTAGCCACTCCTTCTCCTTTACTGCACATCAATTTCACATAAAACCCTCTTTCCTCCACTGGAAATATGTCCATCTATATAACAATATAACCAAATGTTACAACTTAAGTCTTAAGAGCCCAAATAACAGTATCTCATCAAGTTTTAATCAAGTAAACCTGCATGATCTTCTTGCAGATTGGATAGTTGATGTGGTTGTTTTGAACCTTCATGGGGATTTTAACTGATCTCTGATCATTTTCTGACGCTAGCATGGATGCTTCAAGCCCTTTAACCTCACCCTTCAGCTTCTTAGCTTTCTCTTGCAGCTCCTGCACATATGCTACAGCATCGCCCACGATGGAGGCCTTATCCATCTGCAAATATTTGTACCAGTTAACGCTTAATTAGCCTTTACCTTCACTGACATAAACTAGATTCTCTTTAGACATTTAACTTCACGTTCGTAAATTCTTAAATGTAAATAATGTCAGAAACAATAGTAGAAACTAAATGCTATGCACCCAAATGCCAAAATTAGCTTTGCAGAGTCTCAAGACGTGATAGAGAGAATTAGAAGCGTTGACTAGCAAAATAGTCGCATGGCATAGTAACAGAAGTTGGCCCTGAACATATAGCATTACCTTCGATGTTTCACGATTTACGTCCCAGCGTGAGGCCTTGTTTTAATTAAGGAACTATAAGTTGGCCCTGAACATATAGCATTACCTTTGATGTTTCACGATTCACGAGCCATCATGAGGCTTGTTTAAATTAAGGAACTATATATTTTATGACTTTGACTTGTTTAATCTTATTGCTTCTGACCCTTTTTGTAGTTTTTAGAATATTATAATTTTTCGTTCGCGAAAGATACATGCAAGAGATTCCAGAATCCTACCTTCCTTCAGTCGAGGAAAATTTTCAACTGGCTATTATTTGTCAAATTTCAAGAATTGAATGACCCATCATCGTATAAGAACAAGATTAGGACATGCATATGGCTGAAGCTAGGACCTTTAAGCACCAAACAGTACATTTTCCTTAGATCTACTTTGTAGCCGTGAAACGTACCTTAGTTATGTTGGGGACCAAAGAACGCAAAGCGTAAAGCTTCTCCTTCATTCTGCCCCTCCTCCTCCTTTCAGAGATAAGAGTCTTGGACCGATCAGTTTTGGGCTTCTGTTTGGCATTAGCACTGGTAGTTTCAGTGGTGGTGATTGTTGTTGCAGAAGAATCATTCTCTTCTTCTCCTCTTCCTCCCGTCACTTCTCCATCAAAACATGAGAAGGAACTAAGCGTAGAGCTGGGATCATAAACATTTACAGCAGCATGAGGCTCAAATGGGTTCTCAGGTAATGGAAGAAATTGGTTATCAGCTAAGCAGCCATTGATAACGTCAGAATCAAAGTTACAGAATGAGTGTTCATTCTCCCCACGGAGCACATTGATAAATTGATCGAAATTGGTGTTGTCGATGAAGTCATGAAGCTGGAAGTCGTTAATGTGCACCAGAGGGTCTCCATGAGCATCCATTTTGAGCATGGTGGGATAACGAGAGGTCTAATTCAGTTATATACAAGATTGAAATCATTAATATATTTAATTTTGGTGTGAACGGAATATAGCGTCCATCTCCTTCTTCATACCAGAGTTGTTAACTAGCTGAAGCCAGATTATTTTATTTCTGTTGGTTAACTAAGTGAAGAAGCATGTTTTCTTTCAAATTTATGTGCACAGACACCTGGCCACATCTAATATTCTAACATCTAGTTTTTCTATTAAGAAAAATACGAAAAAGATTCTTCATGTCTCATACAATCATTAATCTTATGTGCTCATAAATCTAGTCATGCCACATTTGGTATTTATTTAAACAGTTAAATTAGATGCGAACAACTTGAAGATTCGAAGACATAACGATGTTGACATCCAAGGATGTATAAAAAATATGAGTGTTATATACGGAAGTAGTGAGAATATTTTAATGAGGAACCCGACATCTGCGTCTCTGCATTTGAGAGGACCAAGAGGTATCTAGCCATTGCATAGCTAGTTATTCAAGGACTAAATAACGTTCATATGAATTGGTGGTCAGCACAGGAATTTCTTCCAGCGCATCTGGTGTAGAGAAGTAATGGAAGATTTGCATAATGTTAGTAACTGAAGCACCAAATCAAATATACAGAAAGAAGCAAGTGACGAAGAGACACAGGGGGAACATATTAGTTGGCCTGTACAAAAAATTAAAGGGGTCCCTTTCTGATGGATAGGACTTGAGGATAAAATAGTAATAACGACCCATGGATTGGAGTGTATATCAATATAGTATTGTGGTGTGAATGGAATCAAAGGGGGAACATAATGACGTTGGTGTTGATAAATTATAAAATTAGAGAGGATGAATCACCATGTTAGAATAATGGGGGAATATCCTTCAATCTAGGAGCTTCTTGCTCGAGATCGATGTGCAAGTAACAGGAGTGATAAGCATGACTATGAGCAACGTACTGTAGTGCATGCAGGAACCCTGTTTTGCGGTTGTGGGCTACTGCAGGCCTTCATTGACATTCAGAAAATGATGGAATCTCTGTATCATGTTTGACTTGGTCTCTTTTCTGCAGAGAATCAAGAACAAGATGAGAGCAAGGAAGGCTGGGGTTCAATGCAGATTAGAACTAGAGTTAAATATGCTGAATACAATCATTTTAAAACGAATGTGGGTGACACGTTATGGGGCGTGTGAGACGTTTCACAGGGCTTATGCTTCCACGTGCCGTCCTCCTTTTTCTGAATTACATACAACTCCTGCTTCACATCTGCCTCGTCTCTTCGCTCTACCTTTTATTTATTCTTAAGTAAGAGATTATGAGGACGTGTCTCTTATTTATGATGTTCAATCTCCCTCCTGCATGTTTTAGTTAAGTCAGAGGCATAGTGGAAAATAAACTAGCTAGTCCCGTCACCGATAGCTAAGCTTATATGACTTTTCAGTTAAAACTGAACAAACTTTAGTTAGTCTGTTTATGGTGAATTGATTATGCAAGTTTTCAAGTTCATTCAGTTTTCTTTCAAGTTTAAATCACTTCTTGACCTATACCATGTCCGCGTATGTGAGATTAGGGATCTTATCATGTTCGACTATGTGCCTAGACATGGCGTTGTGCTCGGGAAGCTTGCTATAATTTGCACTGATGATTATGTGATTATTGATAACCCTCTCCTCTCCACGGGCATGTACATCAGCCTCTTGGTCACTGATATGTACAATGGGAAGCTCACTCGTCAGATCAGTTATCCATTACGCATGGATTAATTTCAAAGCCTTATTATTATTATTATTATTATTATTATTACTATTATTTAAGCTCAATTTACTGCCCAGTTTTGACCACAAATTAAGGTGGACTTTGAGCAAATATTCACGCTTTAAATCAGATTAAGAAGGTCCATCGGAAAACAAGGAATATTCAAAACAATACGTAACTTGTATTTTTTATGTTTTAACAATCACAAAAATTAAACGTTAAAATGGAAGAAATATATATATAATATAAAAATCATATATGGACAGTATAGTTTATGTTGGGAAGAGAGGGAGCGTAATGAAAGGAGTAACAAGGGGTGGTGTGGTGTTGTAATGCCGGAAGCTGCTTCCCATGCAGAGAAGAGATGAAGGGAATCTGGTCCAACTGGAACAGGATAACCTCAGATGCAGAGACAAGACAAAAGTACAAGACCATGGCAAAATCTTCAATCTCTCTCTTCACATGCTTCTGTTCTCCTCCTCTATCTTCTCGCTCCCCCTCTCCCTCCCTCTCCTCACAGTGTTATGCATCAGCCAAGTGTCATTTCCGATTTCCAATTCTTTTTGAAAAAATTATATTGAAATCTCACACCAAAAAATTAATTGCGGTCTATTGACAATTAAACTCACAGTAATTATTATTTTTTATGTGGGACTTAATTATAATTCTTCCGTTTTTTTTTTGTTTTTTTATTTTTTTATTGGGCCGGATTCAAATTCAGCACGTTCATTTCTCAGGCCACGCTCGTCAAGCCCTTTGCTTGCAAGGCAAGGATCCATAAATGACAGGCCATCTCTGGCAACCACGTGGGCTTCTGGGCTCAATAACACACGCAAAGCCCACTTCCTCAGCCTATATTCGGCCTCTGAGTGAGACCACTGTGTTGCTTTGCCACTTGCGACTCACCTAGCAATATGTTTTTCCTGACAGCTCTGCGAGGAAACAATATCACCAAAATCTGTTAATCACTTCATCTAAGGCAATTTTTATTACCAAAAGGACAAAAACGTTTTTCCTATCAGTCAGTTCTATTATTTGTTTGTTTTTAATTATCAAGATCAAAAGTTTTTACCCAAAAAAATTGTCGCTAAAATTCGCTCAAGCGAAATATCCGAAAGCATCTTCATCCTGTGGTGATTCCACGTTATGATCAAGTCCTCCATTTTGGTGATACATTGTCTCCTGGTTTCTGAGTCCTTGGTGCCATATTTTCAAACACAAATAATAATATATAGGATAATGAGAGAAATTATGAAGATTAAATTATTTTAGATCAAAGTTCAAATCCGAATCAATAATTAAAGGAAAGTTGCAGGATATATAGGAGTTTTTTTCCTCGCAAACTCTTTTAAAATAATATCAAGAACCCCAGCAGCACGGGCACTGATGAGGTGACATATATACAAGCACAAAAGTGGCGATACAATTACTCTGTGTTGGGGCAATTTGAAGTATTTGCTTGGGGTTGATGCTAGTTTCAGACTTCTTCTATGAAGTGTCCCTTGCATAACAAGAAGAAATCTAACATTTTAAAAAATACATTGGCGAGAGCACTTTTTTTATAATTTAAAAGCAAATAGTAACAAGAATAAAAAAAAAAACAAGTAGAAAAACATTGACAAGAGCACTTGAATGCAGTACCCTCACTAATGCAAATCTTTGTGTTATCACTTTTGTACGCACCGTTTTGTTTCTTACAGCTAGGTGGGAGAGGTGAAAGCAGCAGAGTTGACCATTAGCCCTGTTCACCTTGCTGTAGTGGGCATAATAGATTCGGATAAGGTACAAACAATATACATTGGTACTGATTTGTGTTGTACCTGTTATCATTGGTTGATCATTTAGCTGCTCTTACTTTTCATTCATGTGTCTTTCTTGATGAAAGGGATATCTCTTGGGTTCCCTCATCCGGGTCGAGTTTAGGATGACAAAGCTCCTGAGCAAGCCTCATCATCTGAGATAGTAAAGAAAAAAAATATATTTGACTAATTAATTATGCATGTTAGAAGAGCTTCCAAACTCGACTTGCCTAAATTTTTATTGTAAAAAAAAAAAAATTATGCATGGTGGAAGATTGAGATAAGAGCCATGAATTCTTCAGTCATGTTCGTTCATGCCTTAGCCTATTAAGCTAAAGGTTTTTTTTTTTTTTTAAACTCATTTTCAGGTTGCTAAAATGTATTCTCGAGAGAAACTTTTCTGATTCCTCGCATACAAGATGACGTTTATGAAAACCATCAGCATCCGATATGTGGTTGCAATTTTTTTCCCTAAAACATCGGTCACACAGCAGAATTGCATACCTAATATAGAGTAAGATCACATGTACTTGGCAAGATGTGATGTGGTTTTTGTAATTTGTCATCCATTCTGTTTTTTTTCTTGTGATTTAGTTTGAATATCTAATTGCAACTTGTAAATCATCCGTTAGATTACAGATAGCGGTATCTCATTTTTCAGGAGGCATGTGCAAGTAGCATTGGTTATGTAGAAATAGATATCCATTGTGTTCCTTCAACATTGAGCTGCAGTAAAGGTTTTCAACAATGCTAGCGTCGGCGAAGAATTTTGCACATATTCATAGCACGCTTACTGTGGGGATGCATGGCTGGTCCGGCTAATAAACCTGATGTGTCAACACTAGCTTATCCGCCAAATGATTGGCAGGGCACATGCGGATGCTGTGAAGCTATATCTTGTATTTTAAATCAACAGTGAAAGATCCATGGGACTTGCTAATTCTAGAAGTCGCTGTTTGAAACATGTAACCAATCCCAAGTAGCGTAAAGAGAGAAATGGACCGGGTACAATGACCATGGTGCTGGAAGCACTTAGGCATTCGCCTGCCTAATGTTTTTGAACAACGGGTGCACTATAACGTATGGCGATATTCTTCAAGCCTCCGCGCTTTCTGGCATAAGTCGACCTAACTGTGTTTGAAACCCCCTTTTGGATTCCTCTGTGCTGTGTGTAGATTGCGACTTACTGGTTAGTGAATCAAATTGTTCACCCGTTGTGTGTCTGCGTGTGTGTGTTTTCTTGCACTCTGTTCTTTAAACCGTCTTATTGACGAAGGATGGAAATGTGTAGGGTGAGGAAGGAGGATTAGCGCCATTTGCGGACAGTTTCACTGTTAGGGATGTGGCTCAGCGTATTTTTTAGGAATTTGTTGTTGCCGTCCTGTGCAAGGATGTACATTGACGTAATGCTAGTAGCAGAGCTAGCTGGATGAGACAT